TGGAGAAAGCGGATCCATTCCGGACAACAAATCCCTCACATTCTCTCTCTCTCTGTCGCTATCCCGGACGCGCTCATCCCGTAAGCAACAATCTCACTGTGGTGGTGGGATTGGACCGAACAAAATCTAGCCCTAACCCCGTTTCCGTGACAAAATCGCAGTGGTATTCGTTTGATTGTTCTCGTCCCGCGCTATCGAGACCGAACAGTTTCTTTCTTGTTTACTCAATGCAGATATGGACCAAACTCGTGTGATACCACGACTGTCACTAAAGCTCTTCATCTCGAAATTTCATGTTTTGTTGAGCCGCGCGCACATCAATGTGTTTGAAGTAGTACCTCTCATTACACGCACACAAATACACACGCACAATGTTTATAATCGTATCCACCTATATCATTACTTTTTCTAGTCGAATGCCTTATGAGCGTACAGTTTCCCGAGTTCGACGACGGTTAGTGGTGCAAGTTAACCGAGCGGTTTATTCGCTCGGACAATCCTTGGGCACGGTTCGTTGCAGCTCTCTTCAGCTCCTACTCGATGTCCACATTGTCTTAGGGATGGTGTGAATAGTGTGTTATTCTGTCGCACTGCCGTCTTGATGGGGAAATTCCCGTGGTTATGCGGCGATTTGTGCTCTACTTGTTTACATTAAAGCACCGACCCAATTCAGGAACTGAATCGTCAGATTTATTCGAAATTCTTGTCTCACATGTTACCTAACATGCTGAAAACTCTTGAATTTATCATCCTATTTCCGGAATGGTGACATTATAAAACGCTTTACCAACGAGCTGCATACCGTCTGAGAGTCAACGTTCACGTTTATTGGGATCGGGTTTTTCTCCTTTCTTGAAGAGAGATTTCACGTGAGCCATTTGTGGCCACATAATTTGCCAATCGATTTAGTACAACCAATCATGACTTATTGATATATTTCATTTGCATCGTATGGAACAAGATGTGCTTTTAAAATACCATGCATTAGTAATCATTCGTTCGAAAGAAACACGTTCTAAATTTGATTTTTAATTTTCAAACAACCACAATTTTTGTTTCATCCTGAAGGTCACGCTAATTGCAATACGGACACATGTGAATTGTTGTCAGCATCGCATTCGATGACATAGTTAGGAATAAACTGTCTCTAGTCAAGGCTCTCGATGTGTAGATGTGATAAAATAAAAATGAGCTAAA